AATCTCAAAATTGTCACACACAAAAAATTGTCCCACAGACTTGCAGCAGATATGTAACCATTCCCCATATTAAGTCCTGTGTGAAATATCTACTACGTTTTCACTTTGGAGCTGGATTCTGATGGATAGAATATTCTAAGGATTAAAAAAAATTAAAAAGAAATCTTAAATTTATGTCTAATTCCGTTAGTATAGTCATACACCACACCTGCTACTCAACTGCTTTGAAACTCATGAGATTTGATACTCCTGGATTTTGGCATGAAAACGTCGTTGTCAGTTTGGTACTCGGGTGCCATGTTGAACTTGTCTACAGCCTGTGACTCCCTACCCTTTCCAGCCACAGTATTTACTTGGCACTTGTCATTTTTGGTACTCCTCAGGAATCCCAGAACCAATTAACGAGGAGTAATAGGGATTGCATATATACAATGTCCCCAACTTAATGAACCTTTGAGTTACAAGCTTCCATAGGTATACAGAACTGTGTAACACTCACTCAGAGGAATCTGATTTACAAACAATTCTTCCAAAATAGGCAGAGCTCATCCATAAACTAGAGACTTACTGTTTATTTGTTTCTTGCTAAATCACTACATTCCCCAGGGTGAGCTCAAATTTGTGATTCTCCTGTCTCAGCCTTCTGGCGTACTCGAATTAAATGTATGCACCACCATGCCTAATTTGCAGTTATGATTCCTAATACATATATTTTCTAGCGCTACATGACTAGTGAAATGACTTAGACACAACAAAGACTCTGTAGCAAGGAGCATCCCTAGCATCAGATCTTGGTTTCCAAAGGCGTTCCCTTTGGAGAAGGGACACTAAATCTTCAAAAAGACCTGCAAAACCAAAAATCTTTAAGACACTAAATCTTCAAAAAGACCCCCCCAAAAAAATTGACTGGTAGCACTAGATCAAGGACAGAGAAAATAAAGTTGACCTGGGGTAGTTTGCTATGACAAAATACAAGCAATAGAGCTGAGGGTGTGGTTCATCTGTATAGCACATACCTAACACGCAGGAGGCTCTAGCTAATCCCCAGCCCAAACAAAAACAAAAAAGCAAGGAAGAATCCCACAAAAAATGTACACATATCAAAGACATAAACTAGTTTAAAGAAGTTTGTATTTGCCAAATGTTGGTGTCAAAATAGCTACAATTAGGCTACAATTAAGTGTAAAATATTAAGTTAAAAATCAATGTACTTACAATGACACAGAAAATAGGAAATAAATTTACTTTCCCTGAGATGATCAGTGCACCAATTCTTCACTAAGAAACTTTATAAGAGAAGCAAGTATTTAGGGCCGGGGATTTAGCTCAGCCATATAAGCGCCATGTATGGCGAGTGTGAGATCATGAGTTTGATCCCTGGTCCACAAAAAAAAAAAAAAAAAAAAAAAAGGCAAATAATTAAGTATCTTGTCTTCTTACAGAATAATAAAGGGATGCAAGTTTGGAAAAACATAGTAAATTAATTTTTCAAAATAGTCAAATTATGCCAAGTGTGATGGTACGTGCTTGTAATCACAATACTCTAGGAGGCTGAGGCAAGAATATTACAAATTGGACCTTAGCATAGGTAATTTAACAAGACCCTGTGTCAAAATAAAAATGTAAAAAGAGCTGGGAATGTAGCTCAATGGGAAGTGTCCCTGGACTCAATCTCCAGTATTGATAAATAAACAAATAAGTAAGTCTTGTCTATAGGTCATACCCTTCTACATGTAATCGTCACAATACAAAAACATGAACATATATCATTTTTCTGTCAACCACAAGCGTTAAGCACTTGCTTTCTGTTTAGAGGGCCCAGTTAAGTAATATAGTTATCACATAAACATTTTACTCAATTCAAAAATGCATAAAATGGTCAGGTATGGTGTTCATGCCTTTAATCCCAACACTTGGAAGGTTAAGGCAGGACTGCCATTAACTCAGCCTAGGTTACATGGTAAATTCAAGGCCAGGCTGAACTACATAGCAAGATCTTGTCTCAAAAAACAAACAAACAAAATCATAAAATGTCTGCAACAAAGGCAACAACATACTAACTTAAAAAATTCCAGCACCAATGTTCATATCTTGTATTAGGGTATGGAAATTTGTAATCAGATGTCAAGCTGCCTCAATTCATTCAATCCATAAAATAGTATATTAAATTCTGGTTCAATCTGTCAGCTTTACCCAAAAAGGAATAGGACCTTCTCATTTTACCTATTATTGGAAGAAAGGAATCAGTACTAACAATCACCTATACACCATACTATAATGGATGCAAACTAACCATTAACTAAATGTGATAATTCCAACATACAGAGGCTCTTACGCTAGTTTACAAAATGACAACTGAAACTCGTCACTCTAGAGTTGTCACTTAGTCACTTAGTGACCTGAGAGGTTTTAATTGTAGCTGCAATGTTTGTTTGCCTCCTGTGCCTATGACTCACTCAGAAAGGCTCTCCCAAGAATGCTAGATTTTTGAGAATGCAGAAACCATAACTGGGGCACACTGTGTGGGAAGTGTCATGACAGTGAATGAATAAAAAGGGGAATGAACTCATGACGGAATTTTTTTTTTTAAGTTTTATAAAAAGCTCATAAAAGGCAGACTTTTCTGCAGAATAACAGGATGGGTTGGGAAAAGCACTCCAGCTCCTCCTGGAAGTCTTCCGTGGCTCCTATGGTTGGATTCTGTGTATTTCTTGTATTTCAATAAGTCTAAGTGGTTTCCTTGTTTGACGCCTCAAATAGATTCTATGCAGCCTCAGACCAAAAGCTGTCTTATCTTAAAATCATTAATACTTCCTTCCCCAAATTCCTAGCATGTTTATAATATGGAATCTTTTAATAGGTGTTTCATAGAATTAAAATAATCTTGTATTTATCTTTTATTTTACAAAACATATTTATGAACATTATCTCTTTTGATCCACAAAACAATCTTGTGAATTGGGAATGGAATTATTAACTCAATGGCTTCTCATAAAAGTTAATTCACTAAAACTCCCAAATCACAAAGATATATTTCTTCATCTTTCAGATAGCTTTTGGGGACCCCAAAACTGTCATATAACACAGGTTCTGCTAGCATTTTTTTTTTTTGAGGCTGTTTTTCGTGATAGGTAGGAATCACATAGCTCTGTGTCTTATCAAAGAGCTTAAACTACTTAAAGTGATACTGGATAAAGGTCATTCTAGAGATCATACATTAAGAAGCAGCATCCTAAGCTATTTTTCCCGATCTTGTTCTTTTCCTGAAGTCGAAATGGTGGAAACTGAATGATGTCATAGATGTCATGAAGTTGCGTTAATACCTGATGATGATTTAGCACAACAATCCAACTTCTTATGCCACCAGGATATTTTACTGCATTAACTTCATGGCTCTTTATTAGCACATTAAGAGACACAGATTGGTTACTTAATTTCTTACTGCTGTTTCAAGTTTACATCTCTAGCAAAGACACTAAACCCTATACATTTTGGGACACACACACACACACACACACACAAAATAAAAAAACATAAAACTTATACATCTATATGAAAATGCTTTAAGAATAAAAAGGAAAAATGGTCAAAGAGCTAGGTAACATTAAATAGCTGTCATTTCAAGAACTGAAGCCTTTTTCAAGTGCACAACACACTCAAGGATCAATGTGGATTGAATATAAACTGGGTTTATCAAAAGCAAAGTTACAGGGAATACAATGTCAACACACAATAGATTAAGACACCCAATCATATTACATACGTGAAAAACTCAGGAATTTGACAGTCTCTATTCACTGTAAGAGCTACAGACTGAATTCTAAAAGATGGTATTTCTTCTTAAAATTTTCTTGTCCCTTTAAATCCATGATGTCATCATTCTTTAGCACAACCAGAACCAATTCGTTACAAAAGGTATTTGATGTTCCAAGCAAAAGCAATGGTCTCATCGTTTCCCCATACCGCAATCCCAACGCAAGCCTTAAAGGAATAAACTGCAAGGCTTCAAACCGGCTTCCCTAACCTGAATTCAAATGTTCCAATTAGCATCGGAACAACTAAAAGTTGTTCTCAAAAACGAGTAACAAACACAGTATAAGGTCGCTGCCACCAAGCGAGAGCAGGTAATGTACCTAGAGCACCACCTGCATCGGTCCGAGCCCCACCACCACAAAAAAAATCCAGACTTTGGCAATAAAGAAACGAAGCTTTTATTTTTCTAATAAAAGTCCGAAGATCTAACAAAGCCAGCAATTATTCAAGGCTTAATAATCCAAAGGTTCAAACGCAGTCCATTGGCGCTGAAGTTTCTCAGCAGAGACTATCAAGATCCCGCAATTGTGTTTTCTTCATTTACAAATTCGTTCCCACCCACCCATCCCCACTGTTCCTTTGCACAAAAAAAATTCTCAACAGGAAAACCTGTCCTCAGTCACAACGTGGATGGCTGTCTCAAGCTAGGAGATCCGCAGTTGCTAGTTCTCTAAAGGAACACTCAGAAAAGCTATGGGTTAGGGAAGACTGCTTATGTCTTATTTTGCGAGCCAATTCCAAAACCAACCCTTTGCAACTGCAGCTTCAGGGATGCTGGCCCCTCGCCGCAGCCCCAATTTGAGAGGGTACCAGTCTCTGGCTCCACTCGCAAAGCTGTGAAGGGCTGGGGGCGGGGGCTGCAGACTAAAACACTGACACCTCTAAATCCATCCTATCGCCGGCCACACACCTCTTCGCAGCCTGGGTGCGGGGAGGAGAACCGCCCGGTTAAGGAGATAACAGGTTCGTTTCCATCCCCAGGGCTGACTGGAGAGGGGTTCTGCTCCTCCCTGCCTAACGCAGGGGAGGCCGAGAAGGACATCAGCAAGATCCTGAGACTGGCCAGGACCGACTCCTTTTCAGGATGCCGGGCCTGCAACGGACCCAAGGCGCCCACTGCACCCGGGCTATAAAGGGCTACAGGCGCCGGCTGCTAGCCGCGGCCCCGGGAGGGGGAGAGGCCTCACCTGGCCCAGCCCGCTCCACGTTCTCGGGTTCGCTCCGCTGGTGATAGTGGTGACGGACCCCGGGGCAGGACCAGACCGGAGGCACTCGGCCCCAGGCTGCGCTTGCAGTGCTTGGGAGTCCTCACAGCTGCCAGGACCCCGAGCCTCCCGGAGCCGCCATCTTCCTCCACTCAAACGCCGCCGCCGCCGCCGCTCAGCTCGGGTGGGGAGAAGGCAGCATGGAGTGCGCGTGCGCAGGGCCACGGCGCGCGGAGGACGCGCGCGCACTCACGTCAGCGTAGCGGGTCGACGAGGGACGGCCGCAGGGCGGCGCCATGTTGGGAAGGGCCGACCTTTCCCCGAGGTTTGAAGGCATCTTGGGTCACAGAAGCTTACTAAGAGCTAGTCTCAGACCTCCATCCACCCTCAGCTGCGCTGGCTGAGGCAATTGAGAATTTATCTCAATAGTTTGAGACTAAGACGTTTGGAAATTAGCTCACTTTATCCCTGAGGGCCCAGTGTGCATAGAGGAGGTTTGTGGTTTTTGGAAGGACCCGTTGATACCTCACTGTCTTGGTTGTACAAGCGATACTTCCCTAAACTAAAGCAACCAGTGTGTGACTTGCTACTGGCCCCCCCCCCCCCCAAACACACACTCTTATGTCCTGGGGGTTGAAGCCAAGGCCTTTGCATGAGCCACATCCCCAGCCCTTTATGAGACAAAGCCTTGCTAAGTCACTTAAATTTCTCAGAATGGGCTCGAATTTGTGAGCCTCCTGCTTCAGCTTCCCAGAATGCTGGGATCGCGGGTATGTGCTACCATGCCTACTTTACTAGCTCCGCTTTTTTTGGTGCTGGGAATCGAACTCATGACCTTGCACTTGCCAGGCAGGTGCTTATACTAGCTCCATTTTTCTTTTTCTTTTTCTTTTTTTTTTTTTTTTGTCTTTTTTGAGACGGGCTCTCACGATGCAGTTCAGGCTGGCCTTGAGCTCACTTTGCAGCCCAGGCTGGTCTCGAACTCGCAATGATCCTCCCACCTCAGCCTCCAGAGTGCTGGAATTACAGGCGTGAGCCACCACGCCCGGCCCTAGCTCCATTTTTCAAATGAGGAATTTTAGGCATAGAACTCACCTGACAATGGTGGGGTGTGGGGGATGAGGTGTCACTTTGTAGGCCCAACCCCCTCTAACCTGCAATTTACAATAGCCGCCCTGGTATGCGAGAAGGAGGTAGAATAGGAATGCCTGTTCTTAGTGAGCCCTCACCCTCTGGAATCCATACTGTGAGCTGGCTTTGTTTTGCAGAAGTCTTGAGGAAGTGGCTGGCCACCCTTTGTGACACTAACAGCAGACAAATTAACAACATTCTTGAGCTAATGAATTTCTTCCTGGGCTAGAGAGGTTATGAGAACTGGTTGTGATTATTTACTTCACTTAGATAGTTTTAGAATAAACATTGTAGTCTGTCACGTTGTAGCTTGCCACAAAGAATGCCTTTTCACTACTTAATTATCTGGGCTCTGTGAACTGATCGGGTTTACTATATATGAATCCTAAAATAAAGATTGTGCGTACAGTACAGTGCAGTGCAGTGTAACGCGGTGCAGACAGCAAAGGTGTCTCTCCTGTCTTTCTTTTCCAAGCGCTGTACCCCCCGTGTCCCGACAAGGCGTGCGTGTGTGTTTACCTTGCCCGGAGTTCAGAGTGCCCTAGACACTCACGACAAGTGGCGCCCGAACAGGGACTCCGAAGGTCGCTTAGGAAGGTAAGTATAATTTTATTACGGGGAAATGGGACAATCTGCTTCCTCTCCTTTCTTAAAAATTCTTAAACATTTATTATCTATATATGGCATATCGCTCAGGTCAGCTGACTTGGATATGTGTATTGATACAATTAAAGAATATAATCCTTGGTTTCCAGATGAAGGAACTTTGGATGTAGAAGTATGGAGGAAGGCAAGGGTTAGTATAGAAAGGGCTATGCAACAGGAGGAGAAGATTCCTTTACGTTTTTGGGCTATTTGGTCGGTTGTGTACTCTTTATTAAAAGCTATGGAAGATGAACATATTGTAGAAAATCTTCAACTAGAAATTAAGCCAGTTATTCAGGAATTGCCCCTCACAGAGGAGGAGCAGAATGTAGTTCAAAATGACGCTATCGCTTTAAGTAGTGAAAAGGCGTCCAAACTAAAAGTAAAATCCACTACAGCCGACTCAGCTTTAGCTGCCGCAGCAATATCAAATTATGACAATCGCCCAATTTTACAGGCTATACAGCATTTAACACAAGAGGTGAAACAACTCTCCGTTAAGCAGAACCCGCCTGTAGTTCCCTCTGCACCTCCTCCATCTAACCCTAATTGGAGTAAAGCCAAGCTAGCTTTGGCTGATCTACCAAAATTAGGGGATTCTGATGAGGAAAAGCCTGCCTTTACTTTCCCTGTAATCAGACCTCAGCCAATAGATGGAGAGGCAGTTCCCCCTAGATGGGAAGCATTTAATATGGATGATTTAGCAAAATTAAAAAAGGCTGTAACCCTTTATGGCCCTCAGGCTCATTACACTAGAGAATTAATAACATCGGTAGCAGATCACTATGGTAATCTTGCTCCTTATGATTGGAAAGCCTTGGCCAAAATTCTTTTAAAAGAGCCAGAATATTTACAGTGGCACATGTGGTTTATGGAAGGTTGTGTGAAAAAGGCAAGACAAAAATGCTGATATAGTGATAGAAATGTTTTAAAAGATATTTTAAAAACTTTACCTCAATATTTTTCTCCGTTTGGACTTGTAATAGCACAGGATAAAATTCAAAAGGAAGAAGTTAGTCATTATTTGGGATATATTCTTACTAGACAAAAGGTGATTCCACAAAAAATGTCTATTAGGAGAGATAAGTTATCCACTTTAAATGATTTTCAAAAATTATTAGGGGATATTAATTGGCTTCGTCCCACACTAGGTATTCCTACCCATGCATTACAGCATTTGTTTGCTACTCTACAGGGCTCTTCAGATCCATCCAGCCCTCGTTCTTTAACAGCAAAAGCAGAGCAAGAATTACAGTTTGTAGAACAACGAATTAAGGATACATTTTTAATTAGGATTGATCCTAAATTGCCTCTAACTTTATATATTATTAATACTTTTCAATATCCCTCTGCAGTTTTAGGTCAAAATGCTATGCCAGTAGAATGGGTATTCACTAAAACTAAGCAATCTAAAAATGTTATGCCTTATATTGACATGGTTGCAGCTTTAATTATGAATGGTAGAGCTCGTTCTATAACTTTGATAGGAGAAGATATAAACAATATAGTTATCCCTTTAACTAAGGAACAATGGGAATATTTGTTGTCAATTACTGAAACCTTACAAATTGCTTTAGCAGATTTCATGGGAACTTTTTCATATCATTTTCCTAAAAGTAAATTATGGGATTTTTTTAGACGTCAACAATTTGTGGTTAATACCTTATTAGCTGTACAGCCAATTCCACAAGCTTTGACTATATTTACAGATGGATCTAAAAATAAAGCTGCATATTGGACTCAAAAATCTTACTGGGTACGTCAGACAAATTTTAACTCTGTACAACAAAATGAACTTTTTGCTATATTACAAGTGTTTTTAGATTTTCATAACCAACCTATTAACATTATAGCCGATTCAGCCTATTCTGTTGGAGTAGTGACAAATATCTATTCAGCTGTGTTATATTCTAATAAGCCTGCTTTATTGTCTTTATTTCAAAATTTACAAATACATGTTCAAAAAAGAAATCATTCTTATTTTATTACTCATTTACGTTCTCATTCTCAGTTACCCGGACCATTAGTATCAGGTAACAATGCAGTGGATTCCTTAGTTATGTTCACCACACCCGTTGAAGAACATCAATTTAATCATGCAAATGCAGGACATTTGCATCTTAAATATAAGATACCTTTTACAAAAGCTAAACAAATTGTAAAAGCCTGCCCTATTTGTAGACCATTACATTTAAGAATTATTCCCACAGGTGTCAACCCTCGAGGAACTCAACCTAATGAGTTATGGCAAATGGATATTACACATGTACCTTCTTTTGGTCGGCTTTCTTATGTACATGTAGTTATTGATACATATTCTTCATTTCTATGGGCTACTGCTCAACAGGGAGAATCCACTAAAAATGTTATTGTACATTTATTGGAGACTTTTGCAGTTATGGGAATTCCTTCTAAAATCAAAACAGATAATGGACCTGCTTATACTAGCAGAACATTTAAACAATTTTGTGATCTCCATAATATTATTCATATTACAGGGATTGAATATAACCCCCAGGGTCAAGCTATTGTTGAAAGAGCACATGGCACTCTTAAGTTACAAATTAAAAAATTAAAAAGGAGGAGTCAGGAGGATATTCAGATACCAATACTGTTTAAATTGCAAAACAGTCCAAAAACATTACTGCATCAAGCATTGTTTATTTTAAATTTTCTCAATTTACCACAAGGTGAAATATTAACTAGAGCTGAAAAACATTTTGAACAGCAACAACAGCCCTTTGTGATTAATGAACCTATTTGGACTAAAACAGCTCCAGAGGCTAAATGGGAGAGGGGCACATTGCTCTATAAGGGGAGAGGTTTTGGTTATATCTCCACAGAAAATGGAATTCAGCAGTGGGTCCCTGGACGATGGATCAGGATCCGCGCCTCCAGACCCTGTTCGCCAGCCCCGGAGACAACTCCCCAAGGAACCGGAACCGTGCCTTCAGAAGCGAGCGCGAAACCAGCTAGAGGCTGAGGATGCTGAGCTTGTTCCTATCGCAGCCATGGCCAGATTAAAGCTAAGAAAATCCCGCCGCTCACAGCGACCAAATTTAAATCCCCTCCCTACATGGGGACAATTAAAGAAATTGACCATAGAAGGGCAACGGCTTGTCCTTCAAGCAGGAAAGCCTTTAAACCCTGAAAACTTGTTTTTAGCTTTATGTGCCTTGCTCACTGTTGCGTCGGGGACTGAGGTACCTCCACATTCGTACTGGGCATATATTCCAAACCCCCCTTTATTAGAACCTGTAAAATGGGGAACTAGTGATATTTTACTTTATACCACACCTAGAGAAATTTTGTCAGCACCGTGGGCTGATTTAACCCCCCACAATCAAGATGATGGGACATTATTCAATTTTACTTATTATGGTAATCAAAGGCCTATTTGCATTGGGGAACCGCCTTGCATCCCTCTGG